TAAAAGAAGTAAGCTTCGTAGGTATTCGGCTACTTCTTGCTTCCAGGAACACTCTATACAACCCTGCAAAAGCTGTGGTCAGTGCCGGGGTCGTCTCTGCCCCCTGGGAGAGGTTGGTGGGGTACATGTGTGTGGATTCAGGGACCAGCACACTGGGACTGGGTACCGCCTCTGCTACCTGGCCCCAAGCAAACTGTAAAGTGACATCCTGGGACACTATTAGCATTGACCCCTAGGGTGTGTTCTTAACTCAGTTACAGTGTGGTGTGCGCTAGGTGCCACACACTGCTAGGGGCCATGACTGCGGAAAGTAGCCTATGGGTGGCAGGGGAGTCACTCTTCACTGGGACCCAACCTTCTTGGCTTGTGTTCAGCTTCTCACCACACACTTAGTTCCATCCTGAGCCTAGCATGTGGGCCGGCTACACCAGTGTCTACGTCCGGTATGGCTTAGATGTTGAATGGTCCCTAAAAGTCCACAGTATTGGAGGGACTATGGAGCATTGAAGTGATCCTTAGGTGACTGACTGTGTCTTATGATACTGGGTCTCGTTCCTCTCTCTACTTCCAGGTGTCAGAACAGTGCTTCCATCATGACAGTGGTCACTGGCATTGGCCCTTCCTAGTGGCACTAAATGAGGCCGCCTAGTCTTAGGCCTGGAGGCAGACCTTAACCACGGGACGCTCCAGGCCTTAAGTCTATTGCAGTGGCAATTTTGTCAGTCCGAGGGACCTTTAGCTATATTTGGAGGTGGTTTTTGTTGTCGTGGTTTGTCTGGAGGGAATTGCCTAGTGTCCAGGGGTAAGGAAGTTGCCAAATATCTCCTAACTTCTGCATAGGACAGCCCAGGAGAAAGAATCAAGCCTGAGCTCTCAGTTGTGCTGAACTCGACTATCGCATGCTATTGGATAAAAGGAACGTGTGCCCAAATGGTTCAGATTAGTGGAAGGAAGGTTATGCCTGTTCCAAAGTGCAGAGGTGAGCGGGCGTAGGCACACTGAAGGCAGCAAGGAGACGGTGGTCGTGCTACTGTCTACTCACACCTGTAGTCAGCTAACTCATGCTGCAGAGACAAATGCAGCTCTTCTGAGAGTTCTAGTAATTTTGCTTTTCCTCCTGGATCCAGCCATGCCTGAAACCTTGCACTGCCTGGCCAGACCTCGGTCCTTTCCTCTTGCACTTGTCTAAATTGAGCTAATTCTAATACATGGAAGAACAGCCCAAGCCACACACATAGTGTGCAGACTTCACCAGGCTTCTTATCCTTGTGTACCCTGTGGCCCCACTTCAGAACCACCTCCCTCCTGCATGTGGCAGGTGGTTTCTATTAGGGCCGTAAGTGTGGCAGCCGCCATCTCTGCAGCAGCACCGCGCCGTTGCGTGATGGAAGCGCCCCAGTCAGTTGGGACTGGGACCAAGATCAGATGTGGTTTGTGGAACAGCTGCCCGTGCAGGGCTGGTGGTTAATTAAAAGCCCCACGCATTTAGTGATTAACTAATCACAGCGTGATGGCAGTCGGTGAGAATGGGCGACTTCTCTGCTGGAGTCAGAGGAGATGCTGCACGTGTCTGCCTGGGGCCACCCAAGGCAGCAGGAGGCCCGGGAACCCCCAGGGTGGCTGTCTCAAATAGGTTACCAGCATAATCTCGTCCATTTCTCTGCCAGGTTTACAGGGTGAGGGCTCAGGTGGGTCCAGTTAGGCGAGGTAACTGGTGGGCGGGGCTGGAGAGGCAGGAGGCAGTCCCCCAGCATTTGTAGTGGCATAGGGCAGGAAAAGCAGAAGGAGCTGTCCCTGGGGACAGGCAGAAAGCTGGGGTGAGCTTGGAGGTGCGAGAAAAGACACGGCTCCCTTCATTTCCTAGCAGTGAGACAAGTTAGGTGTGGGGTGAGTCTTCGCTTCCGGTCGCCTATGTGACCGCTGACACAATTTTAACTTCTCTACTTCAGTTTCCTAGAACCCGTAAATTTTAGAGTTCACAGGACCATTGTGAGGAGATAGCCGCACAATGGCCAGGAGCTCAGAAAATACGTGGAAATATTAACTGTCAAGGGCAGTTGACAAAGGTGGTGATGATTTCCTTTAAGGTCACCTAGGTGAGCCACGGCTATGACTCACTCCCTGTGTTTCCTGGATGCAGAGAGCTGGGGACTGACAGCCAGCCAGACCCTGGGGCAGTATTACCTTCAGCCAGGATCGACCTCCTAAAGGCTCCATAGACTTCCAACATGGCACCACCAGCTGGGGACACATGTTCAAAATGTGAGCTGTGGGGAAGGGTGCTTCAGATTCAAAACTATAACAGCATGTTATTTTACTGTGGAAGGGCGCACTTCAGGGCAGTGAGTATGGCCACACTCCTGTACAGCCAGCACCACCATCCAACCCCCAGACTCCATCTTTCCTGACTGAACTTTACCTCCAAACACCCAGTCCATAGTGATCACCTCGTAAGGCCTCACCACTTTCAATAAAAACACAGGCTGGCCACTACCCCTCTAACAAACGGGCCTTCAGGGTCACTCTAGATCCAAACTATGGCAGGTGGAACTGGACCTGGTTTTTGTGACTGGCTTATTTCACGTAGTGCGATGTCAAGGTTCGTCTTGCTGCAATGTGTTAGAATTTTCTTCCCAGGCCTGGACAAATACGCCACTGTATGCTATGCCACACGTCCTTTCTCCTCTCACCCCCTGGCGGGCAGTTTCTTCCACTTTCTGCTACTGTGATGAATGGTGCTAAGAGCGTGGGTGTTTAAATGATCTCTTTAGCCCCTGTGTTCATTGATGCTGTCTTTTAAAAATAAGAAATAGTACAAGTAAGTCCAAGATCTACAAAACACAGTTCAAATGAAGACGTTGTCAGTAAAGGGTTCCCTTGTAAGAGCCTGCACGCGCCATTCAGCATCCCTGTACATGCTGTTGCTCCAGCTCCAGCCTGACTGTTGGCCTGGGATCCTCTCAACTCCTCTTGAGGCCCATGCAGATGAATTATGGGAACAATTATGTATCTTCCTTCCCTTGGAGTTATTTTGCTAAGTGACAAAGCAAGAAGTGTCTGTCCCGACTCAGTGTGCAGCAGAGTTCCACAGGCTGTTGAGACCAGAGGCTGCTCTTGATCGCCACCTGTCGGCCCATCAATCCGGTGAATCAGATAAGAAAAGCATGACCCCCGCCCAAGCAACAAAACGACGTCCAGGTCCCATTGTGAGCGGGGAACCAGAAAGGCAGATGAGACCCATCGAGTGGCCAGGGTTAGGACGTTCGAGCCCTCGCCTCGAATATTTAGGTCAGGAACTCAGGGTCCTCGGGATGAGTGGTTGGAGGAAGTCGAAAGAAGTGTAAGGGAAGACAGAACTCATCTCCTTGGCCGTGCGCTTGCCTGTCTGTGCTTTCGTGTGTACATGTGCGTGTATGCACGTTACCTGTGTACACCTGCGTGTGCGTGTGTGTGCATGCGGATGAGCTGAAGGTGCAGTCCCTGCTTGGGCTGGCCTAGAGGCGGCGACAGTCTCAAGTGGGTTCTTATGCTATTCCACCACTGACCCAGCAGATGGCGAGAGTGCAGCGGGAAAGTCAAGGCTGCAGGCGCTGTGCTCTGGGGAGGGGAAGAAAGGGGAGACTCAGTCCTGAGACCTCTGGGCTGCAGCGACCACAAAGGTGGTGGGCCAGTGGGCAGGGTGGCTCACACTGCAGGCAGCTCTTCGCAGCTCCGAGGCGGTTGGTTGTTCAGGGCCAGAGCTCCCGGCTTCCCGCCTTTGCTGCAGCATGGTCAAGGCCGGTTTCTACAACCCCCTTAACCTTTCCGACTTCCCAAAGATACCCTGTCCAAGCATACACTCCTCTCAAGAGTTGGGGCTTGCATCTAAGAAAGGCAGACACAACTCAGCCATAACTCAGGTGCGAGAGAGTAGAGAGCTGGATGGGGACCACCCAACCCTGGTGCTGGATTTCTGGAGCCTTGTCCAGACTCTATTGTGACCTTGGGACTCACTGTTCCTCTTGTTGCTATTTCCTCATTCCAAAGGGAGTCGTGTTCCACCTTCCACCCTCTACCACTTGGCTGATCCAGTGACCAAAGTGTCAAGGACAGCGCTTTGGGTACACCCTACCAGCCCCCACATTCCCCAAACCGCTCTGGGTACACCCTACCCCCATTCACCAAACCGTGGCTCTACTTTCCTTTCCCAAAGCCTTATGCAGAAATCTCACTTCCTTATGACAGTATTGACCATGAGACCACCGAGAGGCGGTTTGGTCTTAAGTTCTTTAACTCCCAGGATGCATTAAGCTCCATTGTCTATTGTACAGGGGCCTCTTCCACCTCCTGCTACAGTGCTGCAGCTCAGGGTCCTTTCTAAATGTCCGTGTCAACTTTAGAACTTATGTCCCCAGCACTGCGAGCTGAAGGAACTTTTGATCCATCCTGCAGCCTGCTCCGTGTAGCAGCAGGAAGGAGACTCTTGCTAAGCACCTATGAGATGGGATTGATGACACCATCGTCACCCAGTCTCGGAGATTTGAGGCCTGCACAAGCCCACCTAGCAGGAAGCAAACGCGAGACCCCCACCCTGTGGCATAAGCAGCAGAGCAGAATTCTCCACATAATTCTGTGGAGACACAGATGGCGGCGGCGGGGGGGGGGGTAGAAGAGGGGGAGGCACTTAGCCCTCACCTGAACAGTGGTGTCCCTTCATAAAGCTGGAGGAAGGGTGGGTTTGATGCACAGCCCTTTCAGGGAACATGGGTTCTGGAGTAGAGGTTTGGTAGCTGGCCCAGGGGACCCAGGAAGTCCCGCCACAGAAGCGGAGTCCCAAGCGCACTGAGATGTCGCCTCTTCCACCTTGGCTGGCTGACTGTGAGGCTTGCAGAGGCCTGTGCAGAGGGCAGGATCTGTCTCTCTCCCAGAACCATGAGAGGGATGCCTAAATCTAATAAGTTAATCTAGACTCCTAGAAACAAGATTAAATTTTCAAATAAAGGCAAGCTCTGACAGCCAAGGCATAAATCTTTTATTTAAAACAGAGACAAAGCCATTCAAATGCAATCAGCAGTGACAGATGCAGGCAGGAGCTGACTCCGATAGGGCAGGCACATGAGGATTGGCTCCCCCTTGGTGACATATCACAGAGGGTGACCTGAAGGACAGTCTATGTCAGCAAACAGTGGGGCCTCCGCATCTGTTTCCATATTGCTTGTCGGCCCAAGGTGCCAATGTCCTCAGGAAGATGCAGGAAGATGCTGGTGTAGATGGGAAGAAATCATGGTCCCATGCTACCATCTCAGCCGCCACAAGAGGGCAGCAGAAAGGGGGTAGCTCTTCTAGAGGTTTCCAGACCACCAGCAAGGCCCCTATGGGATAGGTAGGTGGGTGTGAGGTAAAAGACGCCAAGAGCAACATTCATCTCAGCCACGGGTGGGCACTTTCACTTCCCAGACATTGCCCATTCCCTCCCTGGTCAGAGTTCATCTTCTCAGGCAGGAGAAGCCTGGAAGAATCCAGCGAGCTGCCCAAGGCTGCACACCTTCTGAATGACAGAGACTCAGCCAGAGACATGCAAGCTCCAGTGTCCCTCTGTCTAGCACCTCTCCGTTTCCAGACACCCTGAGATGCCACCAGCTTTGTAAAAAACACTGACACCTCATTTGTTCTAATTCAGGCAAAGAGAACGCTTTCTGCTAAAACCCCCAAATATCACCTCCTCTGGGAACTCTTAAGATTCCTACCACCTGACCCCTTCAAAGCAGCATGAACCCAGTGGCCGCCATTTGCATGTATTCTCCAAGGACGCAGTTCCCAGGAGAACAATCCATAAATCCATGTCTTGGGAGACGTTTCATAGGAAGCTACAAACAAACGGGGCTTTGTTAAGTAGAGCTGAGGAGCACAGCTGACTCTAGTTTGCTTCTTTCTTGAACAATGTTTCTCAGATGTGGGTCCTGACCCTTTGAGGGGGGGGGTCTAATGACCTCTCACAGGGGTCTCCTAAGACCACTGGAAAACAAAGATGAGCATTATGATTCATCACAATAGCACAATTACAGTTATGGAGTTGCAACAAAAGTCATTTTCTGTTTGGGGGTCACCATAACATGAGGCACTGTATTAAAGTGTTGCTGCATAAGGGAAACAGAGGATAAGTGGATATGGGGAAAAGGGAGGTGGGGTGGCTGGGAGGAGTGGGGCGGGGAATGCAATAGGGACGTATTGTAGGAGAGAATAACAAAAAGGGGGCTGCAGCGTCAGGAAGGCTGGGAACCACTGTTCAAAGTCACAAAACACATCACACTTAGGCTTGGCTAAGTCCTGCAGAAAAAAATCCTAACCAGTTAGCCCAGCATCTCCCCAACTGGCATGAACATCAAATGCTTGAGTTTCTCTCAGGATATAATGTCTCATCTGATTACGGTTTGATGTGGTGTATCCCCTTAAGTGTTCATGTGTTAGAAATCCGGTCTCCAGTATGGTGATCTTAAGAGATGATGTGTCCTATAAGAGGTGGAACCTAAGAGGAGGTCAGTGGGTCACTGGTCCCAGAAGGGACTAAGGTGGTTCTGGCGCGACTTAGTTCTTGCTAAAGGAAGCTGTTTTAAGAGTGAATTTAGCCATTCCCAGCCTGACTTCTGGTCCATCTGTGCGCATACTCTCCTCACAACACGTTTGTGCCTTGATGCCATCTGCATGTGATGAGGCCAGGATTCTTTGCCAGAGCTGGCATTTTCTTGATGTGTCTTAGGCCCAGGCCTCTGGAATTGGGAACTGAATCCTTTTTCTTTACAATGTAGCCAGCCTCAGGCATTTCCTTGAAGGAATGAAAACAAACTGCTGCATTTTCTGTAACAAGGAGTCCACTTTGAGAAATGTTGACAAAGCTATCATCTCAGGTTGGTCCAAAGCTTCATGCTTCTCCAGAATGCAAAATGGTGCATGGACTTCTATACTTGAAGCAGTCATATGGATGCTGGAGGAGGTGCACCTGGTGCTGCTGGCCCCCTTTGGGATGATCCTCCCTGGGTAATGTAGTGAAGGCCTTCACACTTACACATATAATAGTCATACACACAGAATGATGATTTCCTGGTCCATGGGTTCTTGAGGTCAGGCAGGTTTTAAGTTGTTATCTGCTAAGGTCCCTGGTGGCTGGAGGCATGCTCTATCGAGCCTTGCGGGATGGTGTAAAAACATTGGGGGAAAGACTGCTGATGGAGTCTATGCAAAGGGGCCAAACATAATCCTTGCCTTCTAATGGGAACCCGGGGAGTTGTGCTGTCACATGATCAGTGTGAAGTGGGGCTGGAGAGCACACCAGGAGGCCAGGTGAGGAGACCCTTCTGCTTCCTCAGCCCTGCCCACAGCCAGCATGAGGAAAATTGATGGAAGGTGTCAGCCCAGGCTTGCCTGGCACAAGTCCTTCCCATCAGAAGCCAGCAGTATGTCGGCTCTCTGGGAGCTGCCCATGTGGCTTTAGCTTGTATGCGCTACATGGAACAGGCCTCTCTCAAATCCAGGGTTTCCACGGCCCATGCTTGGATTACTAGAGGGCACCATCTTTTTGGTCACATGGTTGACTCAGGGACACGGGAACTAGGACTTAGTGCCAAAAATATATACTATGGAACGTTTATGGAGAGGAATTCTCCCTCAGGGTGACAAATGAAAACTTAAGCCAGGAGTTGTTGGCAGCTATACTGAGTTGTGGGGGAGTCTGTCTGAGATCTTCCGTGGAGGACATGGGTGACATGCAACCCAGGTACCTCTGGGAAGATTTAGAAGTCTGGGTCATGTGACCCAGTCTTGCACACATGAGCCAGGGCCTTCCTATCTTGCTTAATATTGGTGGACCCTTTCTGTCCCGTGCAATGGAAAGAACCCTAATTTCCATGTCAAAAATATTCCCAGAGGGCTGACCAGAGATCGTTTAGGGGTCAAGAACATTGGTTGCTCTTCCAGAGGACCTGAGTGTGATTCTCAACACTTACATGGTGGCTCACAACTATCTGTAACTACAATTCTAGGGGACCCAACACCCTCTCTGATCTCTGCAGGCAATAGGCACCAGGCATGCACATGATGCACAGACATACATGCAGGTGAGACACCCATACATTATTTTATAAAATAAAAATAATTATCTATCATCTGTTCTATAAATATGTGTATGTATGTATATACATACATACATACATACATACATACATACATACATACATACCGAGGACGGAGTTCTGAACAGTGACATTTGAGCAGCAGTGATGTGTGCCTCTCCAGGCTAAGCTCAGGAATATCTCTCTGAGAGTTTGTTCATGACTTTGCTCCTCTGGATTGATGTGACAAACATAGCAACTATAGGAGCCAAACAGAAGGTGGCCAACCACAAGGAGAAAGGAAGCGCCATCATTCTTAGAAGCAAGGAGTCTTGCTTGAGGCCCTGCACATGAAAAACAAGCATCCATCTGCTGAGCACTAAACTCCAGGGCTTTGCCTATCACCGTTGTTCCCGAGAGTGGGTTTTGATGGATTTTAGATAACTTTTCCTTGTATCTATTCATCCACATCTTACACAAACTCTGGGTGGCAGTCTGGGAATAAGATTGCATGTCCTCGGAGGGATGGGAGGACAAAGGATATTCTAAAGGGCCCAGGGTGATGCAGGCAGAGGAAGTTATGGCAGTGTCTACCCCCACTCCAGTGCCCTTCTCTTTCCAGAGACACAGCACTCACTCCTGTTTACCTGCCTGGCACAGAAGCCTCCAGCCATCTGCCTCTGTCCGTGGTGCTGAACCTAGCTGCCGTACTGGTTTTATGTGTGTTATGTTCTCTTGGTGAACCTTTTAACCTCTCCAAACGTTTGTTGTGAGAGGAGAAAAACACCTTTATCACTGGACTGCTGTGACAATCAAGTATGGAGGAAGCACTGATTGGATCGGTGTGTTTTTGGACACCCTCTCCTCCCTTTTTTTGGGACCCTCTTCTCCTTCCCCTTCACCTGCCTTTTAGCAGACTAAAAAGTTGGTAACTTCATACTCAGGCATAGTACTGATTTTAGGGGGCAGACTCTCATTCGTGTTGGTTTGAGTGAATTAAGAAAAAAAGGCAGAGTCTAAGAGATTGTCCCTTGTAATTCTAGCAGGCAACAGGAGGTTACAGAAATGTTCTAAAAGTTCCAGGGCCAACTCCAGGCTGAGGAAGTGTGACTTTGCCCCTTGTTTCTCCTACACAGGGGGTGGTGGCTCGGTGGTCCCCAGCTCTGGAGGACAAAGGGTTGAGCTTCTTTCAACCCACTGCTGCTCTTTGAAATCCTGTTAACCAGGCACATTGTACTTATTAAGGAGCAACAAATTTGGATTCTCCAGTTTAATTAATAAAATGCATTTAGAAGCGATTGTGCAATAAAAACAGCATTAAGCTTCCCACTTTAATGGGGAAGCCTGTGCTTTTGTTAGTCTGTGTGGTCCCACTGCCAGCTAATGTGTGGGGTCCCATAGGGTTTTTTTAAAATTATTTTTGTCAAAAATTTACAGACTCTGATGTTATTCTTGTGAACCCTGGGACAGGAGTTCTGTTTTATTTGGGGGGGGGGTTGCTATGTTGTTTAGGCTGGCCTTAAGTTTACCACCCTTCTTTAGCCTTCAAATATGTGTGCTACCCAGCTGAGGAGTTGTTTCTTTGAATGGATATTAGGAGCTTACCCTCTAAGGATTCAATGTGCTGACAAGGGTAGAATGAAACCACAGAGAACTTGCCCAGGTTGGGCTCATTTCACACCCAGGAGCTGGAACTCATAATCTGCATTCTCTTCACCATGATGGGGACATGGAGTAAAAGAGTCAGTGTGTGTGTGTGTGTATGTATGCATGTGAAACTGGAAGTTTGGCTTTCTAACAAAAAGTGCCAAGGGAAACAGTTCATTGGCATCCTTTCTGCTCATATGCTCACTCCCATAATGTGGAAAGCTAGTTGAAATCAAAAGATGTTTGCTGGGCAGAAAGCTAGAGGTAGGCAGTTAGTGATTTCTTTTTTCATTTGCATGGTCTTTTATTTTTTTAATTTCACAGATTTATTTTTTAAAATTATATACCCACCATCATCATCATCTCCTCCTCCTCCTTCCTGATTTTATTGAGCTATACATTTTTATCTGCTCCTTTCCCCTCCTCCTCTTCAACCCTCTCCCATGGTCTCCATGTTCCCAATTTACTCAGGAGATCTTGTCCTTTTCTACTTCCCATGTACATTAGATCCATATATGTCTCTCTTAGGGTTCTCATTGTTGTCTAAGTTCTCTGGGATTGTGAATTGTAGGCTGATTTTCTCTGCTTTATGTCTAAAAGACACTTATGAGTGAGTACATATGAAATTTGTCTTTCTGGATCTGGGTTACCTCACTCAAAATGGTGTTTTCTAGATCCATCCATTTGCCTGTAAATTTCAAGATGTCATTACTTTTTTCTGCTGTGTAGTACTCTATTGTTTAAATGTACCACATTTCCCTCATCCATTCTTCAGTCGAGGGGCATTTAGGTTGTTTCTGGGTTCTGGCTATGATAAACAAAGCTGCTAAACTGAAAAGCTTCTGTAAAGCAAAGGACATGGTCAACAAGACAAAATGACAGCCTACAGAATGGGAAAAGATCTTCACCAACCCCCCATCAGCAGATGGTTGATCTCCAAAATATACAAAGAACTCAAGAAACTGGTCATCAAAAGAACAAATAATCCGATAAAAAAAATGGAGTAAAGACCTAAACAGAGAACTCTCAACAGAGGAATCTAAAATGGGTGAAAGACACTTAAGGAAATGCTCAATATCCTTAGCCATCAGGGAAATGCAAATCAAAACAACTCTGAGATTGCATCTTACACCTGTAAGAATGGCTAAGATAAAAAACACTGATGACAACTTATTCTGGAGAGGTTGTGGGGTAAAGGAAACACTTCTGCATTGCTTGTGGGAGTGCAAGCTGGTACAACCCCTTTGGATGTCAGTGTGGCGATTTTTCAGAAAATTAGGAAACAGCCTTCCTCAAGACCTAGCAATACTACTTTTGGGTATATACCCAAAGGATGTCCAATCATACCACAAGAACATGTGCTCAACTATGTTCATAGCAGCACTGTTTATAGCCAGCTAGTGACTTCTTACCAAGATGTCTGGTAGGATGTAACCTCCAGAGGTTTCAGAACTCCCTTCTGGCCCAGAGTGCTGCATTTAGACAGTGCTTGTCCTGTCTGGCTTCCTAAGCCAGTGTGCTTCTTTCCTGTTTGGGGTTTAGTGGCAGCTGAGTCTGCACCCTTGGTGAGCCTTAGGCTGGCTGTCTAGCATGGCCTCCAGGGAGCAGGACAGACTTCTTCCACAGGTTGCTGGGCTCCTTCCGGAAAAGCCCGTGGATCTGGATGGTGGCCACAGATCTCGACAGCTACAGATAACTGCTATAGTATGATGAGGTCCAGACCCTTTTGAGGGCATTCACTCCACACATTCTACCTGTTGACAGGGTGCCATCACCATGGGGAGGTGAGTGAGGAGATGAGGGCTCAAAGGAATGTAAGGGTGTGCTGCCCATGGGCAGCAGAAGATTCTGAGCCCACACGCAGAATCTCCGGCCAAGTCCCAAACTGCCAGGGAGGACGTGCTTAATGTTGCCTAATTCCACCAAAGATTTGTTGTAATTTAGAACACAAGTAGATAAAACAGGTGGATAAGGAAGACCAGGGAGATAAAATAAGGTCAGACCGTCACGGACTAACATCACCGAGAGGGAGGATTAGGTTAGTGTTGAACCTGCCCACTGCAAAGCCCTGGCAGTCATCTGTAGTGGAACTGAGGCTTCCAGTAGCCAAAGCTTAGGTGAAAACCTGATTGGCTCTGGTACTCCTGGCACTCTGAGGCCACATGGTGAGTCTCCCAAGAAGGGACAGCAGAGATTCTGTGGCCATGTGGAAGAAGGACCCCTGACCAGGTCTGGGGGCTTCCTGAAGGGACCAGCACACCAAGGGTCCAGGGAAGGGACCTCTGCAGATAGCATTTGTTGTGGTTTTTGAGACAGGTTTCACGCTATATCTCAGGCCGATGCGGAGCTCACTATGTAGCTCAGGTTAGCCTAGAATTCACGGAGATTCTCCTGCCTCAACGTCTCAGGAGCTGGGATTCCACACACGAGCTGCACACACTTCTTTGAAGACAAGATTTTGACAGTACTGGCACCTGTGGGGCTTTGCAGAACAGTCCTCGTGCGACAGGGGAGGAACTTCATGTGCATTATCTAGGAGTGGCCACCTCAAAGCGAGACGTGCTTGGAATAATTATCTGCTAACAGGGAGGCTGACACCAGTATCCTGAGACAGCATGATGGACGCTCCAGTCTTTGCCCGAGGCAGTTTAGGGCTGCAGCAAGGGGGCTCTGACTTGGGCTGCCTTGAGAGCCTACAGACACCACGTTACTTAGGCTGCTGTCATTCAGAGAGCCTTCATCCAGGTCATTGATGCTAGCTGTCCATGAGCAGGAGGCCTGAGGCTGTTAGCATGTGGACTGTGTCCCAGGGTAGCTGCCATGGGTAGATGCCTCAGTGAGCCATCCAGACAGTGAAGAAGCCACAGGGTCTTTATGCTCTTGGGTCCTGCCTGTCACTATCCTGCTGATATTCACTGGAGTCTCTTTGTCGCAATACCTATTTCCTAGTGGCACTTAACAATTTCACAAGTCATCCTTCGAAAAGTTTGTTCCATTGTATGACCTTTGCCCTCCCAGACAAATCTCTCTGCAAGCTAGAGTCAGCTCATCTTGGCTGTTCTTGCTTCCAAAGTGTCACACACAAGGATCTTATTACATGGGTCATACACAGACACTCACAGACAGACAAATGCTCATCTTTCCTGAATGGTAAGTCTGGGCCCTGCACCTACTGTCTTTCCTTAGCATGGAGTGCACCATGCATAGGTGAATTACATAGGTGCCTGCCTGCAACACTGTTTGCCTTTCAGAGGACAGCCTGTGTGTTTCTGTTTCTGTCTCTCTAGCACCTTGAAGAGAGACACTTGGAGGGCCTCTGATTTGAATAGTATCTTCTAGAAGCAATGTATAGACCTCTGGTCTCATGCTAGGGTGGGTGGGTGGGATGCTGTCATTCTCAGTCTCAGGGTCTGGGTGGGGAGAGTGCAAAGGCCACACTCACACAGCAGACGTGTTGATGGAAACCAGGAGGACCTGCTTCCCATGCCAGGCATCAGAGGTTCTGCACAATATCATTCTGACACTTGAAAATTGCAAATTTGAAAGGCTGCTTCTCACCTGCCAGCTCTGCAGGCCGCCCTAGCTGGGATGGATTCCAGACTTTGCCCCAGGGCTAGATTTCCCAGGGCCCCAGAATTAGCCAACAGGGGGTCTCTCTGACCCCACCATGCATAAAACCCCTCGAGTGTCCTGGGCC